ATGAGATAGAATATGGAATGTAAGATAAAAGATATTTACAAGTTACATAATTAGTTGATAGAAATTTCTATATTAGAGTAAAAATTAATTAGATTATTTAAAATTAAAGTAAAATGTATAGAGTCACTTAAAGATATAAATATATTGAGTAGTCTATACGAAGAACGTATAAGAGTTGCTCTAACTCCAACTCTCATATATATATATATATATATGAAGAGGGTTATAATAATATCAATGTAATTTTTACTAAGTATTACATTATTTTCAAAATACTTCAGATCTAATTCTATATATAGTTGGTGGCACCAAAGTTCATGTGTGTAGCCCCTGAATTCTTTTAAGTTGTATTGATTTGCATGATTGCTAACTATAGCGGCAAAATTGTCAATTACAATCCCTGTTCTTCCTAATCCTTGACCCTCACGCTTAAACACTTGTCCATGTAGTGAGACTTATGGTATTTACCTGCAAGTTGCAACATAGTACCAAGAAATCAACATGTAGTATGGTTTGCATAAAATTTAATTTGAGAATTCATATCGCTGTTGATCCTTATGGATCAACTTCAGAGATTGGCTGCTCCATTGGTTAAGCCAAGCCAATAAAAATACATTAGCCCTAATTTATGATCTATGATATATTATATAGGTACCATACGAATCGGTTGATTTTCTCAGCATTCTACACCACACATTCTTAGATTGCATATTGCGGCTTACATCATTTTTAATGGTATTTAATATATTTTTTTTAGTGACAATAAAAATTACTACAAAATTTTTTATCGGTATTTTAACATTAGTTATTATATGCAATGTTGTTAAAATATTTATCAATAATTATTCTACATGTCGATAACGACCCTTATAATGATCGAAAAAAGTGTATAACTTTTTGTGATATTTTTTACTGATATTTAATGTTTTTTTGCTATTGTCACTAAAAGTTTAAGAAATGATTTATAATACTCTTTAATTATCTTATTTCTAGTCGATATGAGACTTGTAAGATGAATGTTGTTTTCTACTTATATATTCTTTAATTTTCTTATTTTTTAATTATCTTAAATTTTAATTAATTGTTTTATCAATAGTTGATGTGATATTTGAATTTTTTTCAATACACTTCCTCAAGTTTAGGATTATTGAGTTTAGTAATGATGAATAATCTAATACTAATTTAAAATAATAAGTTATGGGTCTAACTCAACTCTACAAAACAAACTTGTAAAGTGAGAGTTATCATCCACTTATATACTCATTAATCATCTTATTTCTAGTTGATGTGAGACTTAATTTTTTTTAATTAATAATTTTCACTAATAATTAATTTTGATGTGATGTAAATATATTTTTAGTAACTATTATATATTAATTATTAATACTTTTATTAAATAATAAAATAAAGATAATTAATTTATTATTATTAAATAATTATTGATAATAATAAATTTTCTTGTGATGTATACATCGCAATGTTAAAGAAGGGAGATTATAAGTGGCTTAATACTCCACAAACCACTAATACATGTATAGCAAAGATGCCTCCTAGAAGTTGTAATATTAAAGCCAACACTGGTGACACGTGGACCGGTTTTTAACCTTTTTTTAATACTAATATTTACCAATTTTATACTTCTTTATTTTAGTCTAATTTTCTTAAACAATAATTATAAAATAAAAGTAATAAAAATTGTCGATAAAAATATTCGACTTTTATATTTTTTAACTAAAAATTTTATTAGTTCATAATTTAGGTATGGAGCAGCAACCGGAGTTGGTAATTTATCTTTTTAGGACCAGATGCAATGGTGATATATCGTCTTATTAAAAAAGATTATAACGAAAAGTATGTTTACTATTGGTGTATATTTATAATATATAACCAAATTAAAGTAATATGTTCAGTGTCCTCTATTCTTCTCTGGTAAGGCCGAATATAAAGTACATATGCCTTGCAGCTTTTATCTTATTGTATTTAGCTGCACCTTCTAGCAACATATAGATCTGAAACACAAAACTCCTCCACCGTTTCATGCATATTCATATATTTATATATTCTATTTCACTAATTATGTTATGTTATCATATAATACATATACAAATTTCACGTTTCGCCAACATAAATTTTGTCATTTTATTCACCGATACTATTGATAGATATGAGAAAAAGGTCAATTAGTCATTGAAATTTATTAATTGCAACTCGTTATTTTGTGAATTATATGAATGGTTTGTATTTATAGTTTCTTCCTTTCACAATAACCAGATATATATAACAATTTTAATACTAGTTGATTATTCAATAACAATTATTACATTTTATACTCTACTATTGTTGTAAATGTTTTTAAAGAGCGTTTAACACACTTTTCTTTTAACTAAGAATGTTCACAAATTTAAAGTAGACATGAACTAAAACTTTTTAATTAGATGAAGATTACAGTGGTCCTTTATGTTAGGTGATTTATCATGGACTAAACTTAATCACTTCTATATTCATCTTATCTACATCATTGTATAATGCACTCTCACTATCAGATATTTTTTTCTTCCTTGTCTCCCACTGTCTGCACTACCCTACCACTGACACCACTTCCCTTCCTCCTACATTTCAAAGATGCCATCGAACCTCTCCGAGATACTTTCCGGAGATGTTCGATCAGAATGATGTTGACCTTCCTCTCCAGAGAACATGGATCTTAATAGGGATGGAGGCATAATTTACATTACAACTATATGGTACATATAATGAATAGCAAGCTTACCGATAAAGGAACAAACAACTACATGTCAAAATTATTGATGGACTCCTTCCTTCTATGGTGTGTTCAATGACTTCTAAGCTCACTCTACGATAGAGAGGAGAGAAGTATGGTCGTGAGGTCCAAAGTAACTAAGGTTTTTTGAGGCAAAATATTCTCTCAAAATGCATATATTCTAAAGTGGTATTAAGAAGGATAGTCTAGGGTATAAATGGAGGGAAGGAAGGCATTTAGGGTTTCTTGAGTAACTTTGGCCAAAATTTTGAGGCTCCAAGTACCCTATATGAAACCTAAATGCAGTCCAAATGTAATGAGCTCTCACCTCCCTAATAACTAAAATACCCTTTAACCCAAAAAGAAAGAAAAGTAGGCTTTGATTTCACAAGACAAGGTTTAAGTCTTAAATAAAATCTCAATACTAATTTTACCTCATAATACAAAAGTTAAATAAAAATATAAAATAAAATCTTAATATCTAATATACCCCCAAAATACAAGAAGAAAATAGGAAAAGAAGGTAACAAACTAAGGAAAGGATTCAAAATTCATACATATGATGATCAGGCTTTTGGTGTGGTGTGCTCTTCATCTTTCTTCACTCTCCTAATCATGAACCTCGTGATTGGCCCTGTGTGGTGCTCCAAGGATGTTCTTCCATCAACGAATTCTTCAACACCTTTTTTCATAAGGAGAGACAATGCCTAAGAATCATTATACCAACACTCTCGGCTTTGGTTCATCGTCAATAAGCCACTCTCAGCTTGTAGTTAGGATCACGAAAGTTTGACTTCTTGGGAATCATTTCCTAACACCCTGTAAGAATTGCATATATACCAAGTCAGAGGGTGGGATGCCTTTAGTTCTCCACAGCCACCATGGATGCATCATCACTAGATCCAAATCAACAGAGTTGGTTACAAAAAGAGTGATAGGATTGGAGATGTATGAGAAAGGGAAGAGGTGTCGATGGTGGGGCAATGGGAGAGAAGGAAGAAAAAAATATCTGATAGTGAGGCTGCATTGTATAATGGTATAGATAAGATGAATCTAACAGTGATTAAGTTTGATCCACCGTAAACCACTTAACATAAACACATAAGTTCACATTTGTATTGTTTGAAACTTAGTCCCGTTCTTATCAAATTTAATAACTTTTGATCCAAGTAATTTTTTTTTTTAAAACACATAATTTGATGACTTTGCATTTATTTATTGTTTCCATTTTTAAAAAAGTAAATATTTTAGATTTTTTTTGATAGATTCGATTCACTTTTAATTGGGTTCATTTTGCTAGAATTTGATAATAATATATACAAATTTAACAAACTTAAATCAATTTATTTTAATTATTTTGAAGAGCAAGTTTAGTCAAACTTGATTCAATTCAACTAATCTTTCATATATTATTAATCTTAACATTTTCTATCATTTTCAAAATATATTGAAAATTGCAAACTTATTACATTAAAAAACATGGAACTTACACAATTTTATATTTTCAATAAATTTTAATCACTGATAAAATATTTTAAAATGTATAAAAATCGTATTGTTAATATTTATTAAAATGTTTCAAATGCTATTCTTTAATCTTCGAATTTTAAGTGGTAACCAATACCCATCTTTAATGATGACATTTTTTATAAAATTATTAAAATAAAACTACATAAAAAAAAAACTTAAAAATACTAAGAATATTACATCTTAATTTTATTCATGTCAAAAACTAAGGAAAAAACATCCTTGCCCCGTGCCGCAAAAGGCTACACTTTCGAGAAATTACCGTCATTTCATACAATTAAATTTCTTAAATAGCATACCTTAAGAAAGAGGAAAAAATGAAAAATTGTAAAACTGAAATTTAACAAATAAATATCCAGCTAATGAACATTCTAAAACACTTATTAAAGAATAAAAATAAAAACAATTTTTGCTTTAAAATCTTAAGAATATAAATTTTCTTATGCTGTCAATCAATAAAAATCATAATAAATATAATATTTTTTAAGTCAATTATTATTGAAGTCACCAAAGTTGCATAAATCATAATTGAATGATATTATAAACTATATTTTCTCTAAACAGTTCTACTTTTTATGTACTATTTTTATTTGCAAATCATGAGCACTCGCCAACATCTAACATACTTCTAAATTTTATAACACGGTAAGATGATAGACGAAACATGTAAACTAATTTTAGCATTGCTTGCCGCAAACAGAAGATATAGAAGCAAAGAAAGGAATATATAATTAATATCAACAATTTTATTGTGAATAGTGAATACAACTACGGATACAAATGAAGCAATCATCTGAAATAAAAGAGGAAAAACCTGAACTAGCTCTACAAATGGGAACAGGTCAAGTGAAAAAATGACAAGAAAGCGCACTTCCTGTAATTTTAACTAATCTTTCTATGGTATATGACATAGCGTGCATTGCCCAACAAAAATACCAATCAGTGTTTCCCAAACATCCCTTGTGTTAAGGAGGAAAAATCATAATCCTTCGCAGGCTGTGAAGTGGTAGATGACACTGGAGCTGCCGACTGAGGTTTACTCGCTCCCATTGTCGCTATCAACCCGTTAACTTGATGAACTTGTCCCATACCGTTAACTGGAGGAACTTGTCCCATAGCATAGAAACTGCATCAAATGTTAACTCGGTCAACAAAAAACATAAAAAGGAGGGCTATTGACAGCAAATGCATTCAACTTGATCTTAGTTGGGAGGTAATAAGATGTAAAGACAGAAAGAAAAGAATAGTAGGAATCAACAGTGAAAAATAAGTTTGTATTTTTCCTTTGGTAAACAATAGAATTATGGATAATGTATAAAATAAAACCACCAATGCAGATGACTAAAACTAATGAAATAGTAATAGTAGATGGTGCACTGCACGGTTTTGTAGAAGATTTTCAGCAAACGATGCCACAATCCATATCAGGACTATATATGTTATTAGTTTTTAAACTTTTTTCAATTTTTGTTTAGTCTCTAAACAAATTTTTTTATTAATTGTAGTCCTTGAGCTTTTCTCAATTTTCAGTTTTGGTAAACTTTTCTTCAAATTAACATTTTGGTCCCTAACATCAAATTTTTTTGTTTATGAGAAATTAAAACCAAATAAAATTTATTCAGAGACTAAAAACAAAAATTGACAAAAGTTCAAGAACTAAAAACATTTAATCCTCCATATAAATTACTGCTAAGTTCTTGAAACCAAATAATGTCCCATTGGCATGCCATTGCAGTATGGATAGCTCATTCAAAATTAAATTCGAAGCAGCAAAAGGCAAAACATGTATTTGGTTTATGTGATTAATTTTTCAGTGCTAATAGCATCACCCTCAATTATGAAATGAAAAATCTAGATGAACAGATGATCTGTATCTTCGATAGTCAAAGTGGTTAGAATGGAAACAGAACCTCCCCCCCGCCCCCCCCAAAAAAAAAAAATACCCTTTTGGTACGACAGTCTACACTCTAATTCGTTTTGGCTTATGGGAACAAAGTTGATTGGAACCCATTATCAACCTAGGATTATTTAGAACTCTGTGGACCAACATCAGGTAATATTCAAGTAAAAAATTCCTACAAGTTATTTAAACTAAGATTAATTTGGTGTTAAGCACACAAACTGATGACTTACCTGGATGGTGGATATTGAACAGAGCTCCCAGCAAATTGTGCTGGGATCATGTTCCTACTCTGACCCTAAAAGAAGAGAAACAAGTTAGTTGCTGGACAAAACTAAACTAAGCATTCATCAATTATCATTTGGCTTACTTCAGTCATTACCTGCATAAGTTTTTGCAGCTCTCCCTGACCACCCATGGGCATTACACCAGGAATCGAGTAGCCATTAGCTGGCCAACTTTGAATAGGAACACCGGGTCTAAGTTGTTGTATGCCAGTAGGATACCTGGGATCTGCACCAGTAGATTTAGCTGCAGCAGCCATTAGAAGAGACTGATGCTGTGCTAGCATGGCAAGCTGCTGTTGATGCATAGAAAATGGAGATACCACATTGCCCTGCATATCCATTATCAATGTCAGGTAAAAGCATTTCAAATACCAAAATGAAAGAAGCATTTGATGATAGAGTGCAACTAATAAATTCGTCTTGTAATATTATCTTGGATAGTATCTTACAAATAGGACAGGATGGGAACAAATGCCCAAATACGAATTGAAGAATTTATATACTCAATAAACAAGACTAAGAACATCAAGTCAAAGAAGTAACTCCACAATCTACACAAACCTATAGAAGCATAGGACAGTACCTTCTCAAAGAGGCTCATGATATCATTTTTCACATCTTTCTGTGGTTTTTCTGGAGCTAAGCATGGTGTCATAGAAGGTGAATCTTTGAAGAGATCCTCAATGCCAGATGCAGACTGGGGAGTACTATCAGCTGCTTTCGGCAGACTAGTCTTCTCAGCTGTTGACACCTCTGCAGCAGCTGAAACAGTTATAGCAACAAAATCACAACCTAAGTTTTACCCAACATAATCAATAGAAGCAACTCCAAATCTTCCAAAACAAAATCTCTAGGAACACTTTCTATTGGGTTTTCATAGTCTTTTACTCTTTTTTTGTATAAGGACACAAACATACACTGAAAACCTGCCCAGTGATTATCATCAACGGTTGCACCAGCAGCTTCTGAGGCATTTTCACTGGGGCCATCCATAGACAACATGTTGAAAAGGTCTGTAGCATAGTCAACTTTTGGAGGGGTAGTTTGAGCTGTGTCTGTTGCCTGCTTAGAAGTTTCAGCTTGTGGTTGCGGTGCTACTGGTTCCACTTTCTCAACATGCTGAGGTTTGGTAACAGGAGTTGGAGTTACCTGTTCAGAAATTGATTATTTCATACCACTATAAACAATGATTTATTTACTAAAAAAGGGGAATCATGTACGTTAATTTCTTTAACAGCATAATTAATCAGGTTATTGCAAATATGGAAAATCCTTTGCATAACATCAGTAACCCATGAAACTAATTGCAGAACAGACATTACAACTGCAACACCAATATAATGCAACATAAATGTCAAATAACAGGACAAAAAGTCCAGAAAAAAAGTAACAAATTAAAGAGGGAGGAAAAAGATTACCTGCTCAGGTGCTCTGGGAGGAGCAGGAACACTAATTCTTGTAGCAGGAATTGCATTTGATGGTTGGGTTCTCTTCCTTTCCTCAAAAGTATTCTCAGAAACAGCAGCATGACCACTTCTCTCCACAGGCCTCTGCCAATGTGGAGTTTTCTCTTCCCGCAATCCAGAAGGTGTTTTTGAATTCCCATCTCTTGGAACCCATCTCTTCTCTTCATACCTTTACATAAACGCAATCATTGAAACCAGATGCACAAAACAAGATGCAAGATGAAAATTTAGCAAGATTTGAGGAGTTTATCATCAGACTTACTTTGCACGAATGAAGTTCTCAATTCCAACTCTATCATAATTTGGAGGTAATTCTGCTTCCCAAAAACTATTTGCTTTCTCGTTTCCCATTGCTGTATAGAATAAAAACAAGAAATTCAAATTTAAAGAGTAGGTAACATAACCAATTCACATCAGCAAAATTCAAAATAAAACTAAACTCGTGACTGTTCAGAGTTCCTCACATTGAATGAATGCAACTTGCTCTGGAAGCCAAGTGTCCAGGGTTGCAGAACGGACCTGCAAGCAAAGTCATTTAAGTCAATGTATAAGATTGAGAAGTGATTGAATTTTAAGAAAGTCTTTAGATACTCTAAAATTCCTACATTTAGAACTAAAATAGGAGCCATGCTTTAGTTATTCCCACATCAAATTCAGTCAGTACTATGGAAAAGCAAAGAAATTAAATTGAGAACTAGACGACGATGACAACAACAACAACAACAACAATGACAATGGTCCTACACTGTGAATGAACACAAATGCCCTAAGGCAGCACTAGTTACCTACAAATATACAACAAAAAATTCCCTCTTGGTGGGATTGACTACAGTATACAAATTAAATTATAAAAAAAATAAGAAAAAAAACCCTCAATTCCCATCACAAGCAAGGGCTTTAAATAAGCATACAATAAATGCAGTATTTCACAGAATGAACCATTCAATTAGCCACATTACAATTGCTACAACACACGCAGGGCACAGAAATACACTATATTATCGCATTGAAAGACCCCATTTCCACAAACCAGTAACCACCATAATATACATTCTCCCTCTCATGAAATTCTGATAGATATAACTAAAATGAGAAGCCAGAAATCTTAATGACTTATATTTGTAAAATTCACATTGATATTTTCATACTTAGTAACATAACATCACCTTTGATATATGTACCCCCAAACTTCGATGTATTCCAGAACACTGCATGCATATAAAGATGCCAAGATTTACACTAGCCCATCTTGGACCTCTGCATAGTAAATTATCATAGAAAGTTCAATGAACATAGTAGACCACAATAATATATATATATATATATATATATATGTATATATATATATATATGTATATATACAGAAAATGCATAATACAGAGACAGTGCATAATTCATGAACCAATAAGTATCTCTTTGATTAATTTACTACTGACATAAAATCCAGATCAGATCATTCAGATCCAGACAGATACATACTTAGCTTTGCAGTCAGCACATTCCCTGTTATCTGGTAATTTAAGAAGTCCTTCCAATATCTGCATATTTAGAGTAAAGAAAGAAACAATGTAAAGAGAAAAGGAAAACAGAAAATGTGACAAGTCTCATACAGAAACACATTCAATAAAGACGAAAACCCACATTCATATGTTGAAAAAATATTACGGATCTCAAACAAATATTACTCAGAAACAGACACCACACTTGTGTTCTGCAAGAAAAACTCCTCCCTAAACAATTGAACTTGATCCATCTTCACATAGGCAAAACCAACTAAATTTTTTTTTTCAAACATTAGGGATGCAAATTAAGTGTCTTCTTTTTTCACTCGAAACATAAATATGGTGCTTTATTCAGTCTACAATCACTCAAACAAAAAACTAAAAATACCTATAAAAAAAAGTATAGACTATTCTTTAAAAATAAGGACGGAGATTTTGAAGAATCACATCGGCAAAGCATCCAATAGCTTCATAGTTCATACTCTTTCACTGAGCATGTAAATAGCACCAATACACCTCTAAAACGAAACCGAGCGCACATCAGAAAAAAGGATCCAAACTACCAAACCACAAATTCCAGATTGATTAATCCCTAAAAGCTTCGAAACTCGAAAGATCGATGAAGCCACCAGGCATCAGTAACTGAACATCACAAGTCACAACAATCAGATCAAAACTAACCTACCAACGCAACGGCTCAGTTCGCTAATTACGCCATACACATTCGCATTAAACAAAAATACAGTCGAAACGTCTCACGTTCAAAATTTCGCGACACGCATCTATCGGACAGTGACGGATTCAAATCGAACAAGCTACGATTAATGATCGGAGGCAATAAGCGAATGCAAATCAAAATTGAAACAATAAGAACGGAGAGAGAAACCTTCTTGTGCTTGGCGTTGAGCTCCTTGGTGACGTTGGCCTTCCCGTTCATGGTAGAAGCTTCTAGAAGACGAAGGAAAAGGAATCGGAGATGGAGCTAGCAGAAGAAGCGAAGCGAGAGAGAGAGGAAAGACGAAGATCCAAGGTCAATTTGGTCTTTTCACGCTCTTTCCCCTCACTCAGTAAACTAAACTCGTCTTCTCAGATTATTAATATGCGACCAAAAAGTGAAGAAAAAAAAAAAAAAAAAAAAAAAAAAAGGACAAAAAAAAAGACCCCAAGGGAAAACAC